ATTGGCATGTGCTGCTGCGAGGGTGACCTTCTTTGTCTCGCCAGATACCCTTCTTATCGATCTTGAGTATAAGCTCGTCAACCTTTTCTGCCTCCACACAAGGAGTGTTGGTCGTCGGATGAACATTACCATGATGAACAGTTTCGACCGATGAAGAAATCACGGTATCGATCGATGACGGGTGAACGATATCGTTCGATAGAAAGATCGTGGCATCGGTCGATGTAGAAGTTATGGTGTCAACCAACGTAGACGTCATAGCACCAGTATCATCCTCCACCACACATCTCGTTGTTGACTCCATCTTTAGATTGTGTGGAGTGTCATAGAGAAATCTGTTGAAGAAGGCTTCCGCGATATTATTCCATATGTTGAGGGACTCTGGTGGCAACTCTTTGAACCAACGTCTTGCTTCTCCAGCAAGAGTGAAATGAAAGAGTTTGCAGAAGTGGTAGTCTTCAGTGGCTTCATCAAAGATAGACCAGATTAAGTCTTCAAACATATCAATATGATTTATCGGTTGCTCATCAAGATAACCATGAAAGAGATTCTGACTCATAAGAGGGATGTACTCAAGTTTCAGCTCGGAGTCAAAATTTTCTTCCTGTCTGCCAACAGTGTCGGTCGATCTTGGAAGAATAGTATCGGTCGACGCGGTGTAAGCCGTATCGATCGATTTCGCATGGGGAGTGTCGATCGACGGGAGATGAATAGTGACGATCGACGGGGGATGAATAGTGTCGATCGATGGGGGATGAACAGTTTCGGTTGACGCGCGGTTAGGCGTGTTGATCGATTTCAGGATAACAGTATCAGTCAACACGGAATGTACCGTGTTAATCAATTTCGGGTGGGCAGTATCGGTCAACACGGTGTGAGCTGTGTCGATGGATTTCAGGGGAACAGTATCGGTCGACACGGTGTGAGCCGTGTCGATCAATTTCAGGGGAACATGGGTTTTGTAGTTTTCCAAAGGAAATTTTATTTCTTAACCTTTATTCAAGGTGGAATGGATTGTAATAGGGATGTTGGTCCCATTTTATTTTTATTTTGGCTAATTGCATTGCTTATTTTACCTACTGGTTCAATTTGGACTACTTCTTGATTAACAAATGTGTTACCAGAAAACTTACCTGCTCCCAGCGAGGCTTTGTCGATCGATATCCGACTATGCGTGTTGATTGACTTGTGGTGAACAGTATCGATCGACTTTGGATGAATGTTGTCGATCGATATCGGGTGAACAATAGCGCGATGAACAGTAGACAGATGAACAGTGTTTTGCCAAACAATGTTGTTTGTAGGTTGGTTGGCTCTATCGATCATCGCTGCTTGTAGCTTATCGATCGATTGACGGTGTGCCTTATCGATCGATGTCTGGTATACACTCTCGATCGATTCTGCTTGGAGGGTGTCGATCGATACGCGTGAACCACCAGGCTCCTTCCTTGAAGGAACTAGAAATTCTCTCTTCATTGTTTCTGGTACTGAGATGTATGTACCTGAAAAAGAAGAAACAATTTTATTAGTTTTCAGAACAGTAACAAAACCTAGACTAAATCTAACTAAACAAGATCTAATGGCGATCAAAGCTCCCCGGCAAAGGCGCCTAATTTGATATCACTCAAATGTTTAACCCTAAGGAGTGAATTACTCTCTCAAATAAGAGGTTCAATTGTAGTACTTAGGGATCGAATTCACGGGGAGCTAGGGAACCTAAAAGATCTAATAGTTATATGATTAAGCTAGGCTGATAGGTATTAATGCAGTAAATAAATAAAGTAAACTTGAAAGCAATAAACAAGATGAACCAGGCAATTGTTCAGCTTGGCAAGGATTTGTTGGATGGAAGGATGGTAGCTAGATCTAGGGTTTCTATTCAGGTAATTAAGATTATAATACTATAGATGCCTAACAAGTTGCATGCATGATATATAAGAACTTCAATTCTTAGACAAATCTATAGCTATCGCTAGTTAGACTCGTCCATTGATCTGAATGCCGACAGTATCGACCGATGTTGCTATCGCAGTGTCGGTCGATATGTTTTTCCGTCGATCGATGACTCTATAGGAGTATCGATCGATATAATATCGGATCGAATCGAAATTGTGTTCACCAAGATCATAGACCGGCTATCGCTGGTGCCTAAGATTTGAGCGTGTACAGGATGATATCAGGATGAAGATTAATAAAATAAACTATTCCAGTTCATGGTCCTAGTTCATTACTCTAGAAACAAGCATTAAAAACATCTTAACAATGAATATCAAAACTTAGAAATCTATAGTTGGGGCTAATCCCACAACCTATCTGAACCCTAAATCCAACAGGTGGATCTATTCAGACATGAAGATTGTCACAGAAATCTTAGATGAATAGATAAGAAATTGCGTTAGATATAAAACCAAAACCAATGGAGTTCCAGGAGGACTCTGATAGGAGTTTCTCCCTTCTCTCCTAACTAAGAACAACAATAGAAAAGAACTTAGAAAAGCTTTGATAGCATGTAACCGTCAACAATGGCTTATAAATATCATAACTAGGGTTTCTGGTCGTCAAGGGTATTTTGGTAACTTGTGAGTTTCAGTCGGTTATGAAATATAGCCAGTCCACGTTCTAGCATTCATATCGACCGATATGAAGTGTCTCCCATCGATCGACATGCACATATCTTCTCGACAGCCTTCTCTCGCGAGGCAGACTGACCACTCTTCAGTAAAACGGGCTTAACTTTTGATCTAACCGTTGGATTGACCTCAAACCGGTGGCATTGGAAATCAAACTCAAATCTCTATCGTCTGTCAAAATATGGGCTAAATCGCACAATGAGAAGGTCTCCATCCATATCTAAACATCTGACGCGTCTGCGCAGTTCTGCACTTAAGGGCTCCAAAAGACACCAAAATCACCATATTTCTCCAGGACGTACCTGAACCTGTAAATACTCTAAATAGACTCCAAAACATATATAATTATCATAAAAACATATCAATACCATGAGTAAAAGTGGGTCAAAATCATGGTATATGCCTTTTATCTATGTTTACTGATATGCAGTGCAAAGACAGTATATTGTATACTATTCTGATAATTATAATTTTGTTTTCATTGCATTTATTTCCTTGTTATTATTTGTAACTAGAGCTATTCATCGTGCTATGCACGGTTTATATATTTTAAACTGTTTCTTACTTAAAAATACAAATAAATAAAATAAATTTCGGTTTCTTCTGATAATTTCCTTGTTCTCTATTTTCTCATATCTTCTATTTCCTATAATTTATTTATTTTTCTGGATATTTTCTTTTTAATTAAATAAAATCAAATTATAGTTTCAGATTTCACCAACTCCTAATTTTAAACTAACCCAATAAAAACAATCAGTATAAAAAAAAAAACAATAAAATTTGGTCTCGTTAGGAAAAAAAAATCAAAATCGAATTTCTTCATAATCTATCTATTTCTTGAAAATATATTTCTTGAAAAGATGGATTTTAAAACATTTATAAAATTTATCTGTTTCTCACTGAAATGATTAACGTCTATCTTAAATATACGTTTATCTTAAAACATACTTAACTTAAATTTAAATTTAGAATTTTAGTAATCTCTTTTGTTACCTAACATGCAGCCTTTGTAATTCTTTTGTTATTTCTCATTTGAAACTTTGAAATTTTTTTATGAAGTTGTTAAAGTAAACTCTTAATAATAGTGTTGCTGCGAGTATTAATATTTTATTTTATTCAAATTAATTTAAAAACATATCGCATATGGTCAATTGATATGAATTCTTAATCTTTATATATTTTAAGATTAATCTTCTTCACAAACATGATTTTCTTTTCCAATTGTCAATGTTTAATAATTTTATAAAAATACTTATTTCATCCTATATAAATTAGTCCCACAAATTTTTCAACCTTCATTTATTTGTAACAAACTAAAATTTCATTTTTGTTGCATGTTTTATTTTGTCTTTGTAATTAGGTATAAGTTTCCGCCTTAGTTTATTTTTTCTTGATTTAGAACTTTATCTTTGTATAATTTAAATTTTGCGATTATATTTCCAATATTTTTCTATATTTTTAATTATATTCAGGTTTTAGTTATTATTGTCTTAAATTCTTTTCTTATCCATATTTTACATTCTTTTGGCACGTTTATATTAATATTGATTATATGTTTAAGAAAGCATCTTTTTTGTTAGTTGAAATTTTACATGATTTCCAAAATTTGTCTAAATTTCACATTTATTTATAGGGAAGTCATTTTTAAAAGAAATAACTTAGATATTAAACATCTAACATATTGATTTTAACAATTTAGAAGCTTTTATCTGTTTGATAATTTTTTTGTGCTTAGTTTCCAAGCTTAGGTCTAAATATATATATATTACTTATCCTTTTTTTTCTCAACTGTGAAAATAGAAGAACTCTTATCTTGTGATCAATAATCATATAAATGTTGATTTTGTTGTTTTAGCATTAGCACTGCCAACATAAGTGTAAGCCTAAATTTATTTTGCTTATGAAAATCCCCTAGCATTGAAAATGCCGTAGCAGTGGGGAGCTAAGTATCATCGACCCCGCTAAAGATAGCACCAAATCATACATTGACAACTTACGACAGTATTATCATTTATGCAATCATTTAGCTGAAAAGAATATTACAATTTTTTACACATAACTCACTTAAACTTGCAACCTGCAAAAAGTCTAGAGGGTTAAAATCTCCTTCTGTGCCAGACCTGGGTGAAAACATTCATACAGGAGTTCTCAACAACGTATTATATAAATTAGAGTATACGTTGGATTAAAATAAATAAAAAACTCATTACGGCAAAAAGCAACAGGTGGAAACTTTTTTATAGTTCTAGTAAAATTTGGATCATTAGTCGACACATACAATAGATTATTATATAAATTCGAGTATACGTTGTATTATGATAATAAGTCGGAAGAAACTCCTACTGAGAGGATGTAGATAAAAGAATAGAACTAAAAATAAGTTGGTACCTCAACCCCACCAATGCAGAAAACAACCACAAGAAGCTCCACAAACCAATAAGACATAAGCTTGTAAAGAACCACCAGGAAGGCCGAAGCAAGAAATAGGAAACAAATAGCTGAAAGAGTATTGATCTCTACGACACCTCTATCCCCATCATTTGTGCTAGGGATTTCCTCTATAGCATCCTACACTTTTTACCAAAAAAAACACAACTGATTAGAAGTAAGAATGATCACGTAAGAAAAAAGCACAGATAATAAAATCATAAACAAAAGCGACAAATAAATAAAACCATGTGAATGTTTTGTCAAAAGTAGATGCCAGAAGGAGGAGCCCAGTTCATTAGAAAAGCCATATGTTACCTATCCATTTTCTTGGATGTTTATATTGATACAACCTCTCTATATATAGGAAAATAAAATGGTAAAGAAATGGCAAAATGTTGTTCAATGTATTGTAAATGACTTTTCTTCCTCGGCCAAACAAAATTACCAACTACTTTGTCCCTTCTGGTATTATTAGATTACGTTATTCTTTAACTATTCAACTACATGTTTCTAGCCTAACACTGGTATTCCCAAATAAGTACAAACCTTGAGTAGCTTATCATGTTCCATAGCTGCTTCTTGGGAACTCCATGCGGACCAATACGATGCACACAATATGGTACCGATAGCCATTAACCACAAAACGAATTCGGCTACATGATAAGGGTTTTTGGTCCCTTAGAGCTAGTCAATGTAGTAGTTAAGATTGTCGAACCACATGGAACTAGTGATCTAAACACTAAGAATAAACAAAATTTCGTAATCTAAGCAAATAAGAGAGATGGTTTGTAACAAGCTAAGTTCCTAGAATATAAACAAGGTGATCTCAAATCCAATCAAGAAACAACCACAAGAACTACTTCTAATCAATAAGAACAACTAGGACTCATGGATTAGGAATTTAACTTCAAGTGATTATCTAATCTAGGGTGAGGCTTCAAGCATAGAGATCAAGTAAATAGCATAAAACTAGAAAGATCACATTAATCGAATACATGTCCTTAATTCTAGACACTTTCCTAAACAAACTCTTTGTCAAGATGGATGTTCATTTGCTTTCTATCTCTAGACATCAAATGTATTTGGTCTAGATAATTCAAACAATCATTAAGGACTAGTCTACTAACTATCTAGGCTTCCCTAACATCAAATGTCTTTGGTTAAGCAAGAAAAGAGCAAGATTGGGTTGGTTCAGACATTTCATCAAACACCTTATGGGCTGGAAATGTCTAAAGGTCTAACTTAGTGTCATCAAGACTAAACAAGCATTGAGAATACCCAACAAGCAAAGAAATAGATTAATCTAACCGTAAACACCATAGATCATCATCTAATCACTTTAATCACCTAAATCCATGAATCTCAAAGCTATCTACTCTCTAATGTCCATGAAAAGGCATAAACCCATATGTGAGTCAAGACTAATCATGTTAATGAGCAAGAGAAGAAGAAATTATGATGAAAAACTTTCTTTAATGATCAAAAGATTCAAGCTTTTACAGTGAGAGGCAAAGTTCTAGAGAGAAAATGACATAGGATTTTCAAAAGGGATTATAAGAGTATTTTTATGGTCTAGGAGACACAAGGGTTTCCAATGTAAAAAGGCCAAATGGGCCTTGGAAAATAAGGAAAATTTCAGGCTAGCAACGTCAACTCGGGTTGGTGGTCCAGGTTCCTCCCCGCGCAGCCTTACCCGCGCCAGCTTGGCGTGCTTTGTCCCTCCTTGGACGAGTGGGTATTAGACCCCCACGCCAGGTTACCCGCACAAGATGGTCGAAGCTTGGTCTTGTGGGACGCGCGGGTGCATCACTCTGGGGCAGGCTACCCGCGCCAGCTCGTTCTGACTTTGCCTGACTATTTGGTTTGTCTAGATTTCCGACCAATCTTCATTCTTCACTCATTTTTGAACCACAATGCTTCCAAACACCTCAAATAATTTCATTGGACACTTCAGCACCTAATGAGACCTATGAATGCAATATGGACCCTAAAGATATCTAATCCTAAATTTATATGATGGTTTATGTACAAAATGGAATGCTAAATCTATGCAAATATGCATGATCAAAGGGAGAGAAAATGAAAATGAAAACTCAAAACCAAAGGATACACTTCTTATACTCAACACCACATCCTAGACAAACTTAACCTATAGCATAAACAATCTCAATTAGTACACTCTAGCTTCTCAAGGCCTATCAAGACTCATTGCTATAAAACAAGTTGTGGATCACCAATCAACAAATATCCTCAACCAATCCTCACATTCAATTAAGCATAAGCAATGAGGTGAAGTCTTGCAAATGGAAACTTGATCTAGATCATTTGGCTTGGTGGGGGAATTGGTTTAATGAGCAAGAAGAGGAGTTTCATTACATTTCGTTTTAGTAGCTTACACTCAAGAAATAGGAGCTTGATCATTATGCAAAATCAATCTAAGAAAAGAGGCAACTTATGCATACATTTCTTGTTCTTATCATTCTACCATTTTCCTTGATGATTTCCAAACTTTACCCTTTCTTTTTGTGTAAATCCCAATCCCATTCTATCCCAATAACATTAAGATCCTTTTCTTTCTCACTCACCCAATGAACCTTCTTATTTTATTTTCTTTTAAACCAACTAGAGACTCTTGTTCTTTTTTTTTTTACTTAAACTCTATCCTTATTAATATTTTTTTTCTTAAGCTTTCCCCAAAGTTCTTTTCTAGACTCTTCTTTCTTTATGTTCTAGGGGGTTTCTATTTGAAGGTTTCCAGAGCTTTTCTTTTCTTTTTCTTTTTCTTTTTATCCCTAGTGGCTTTCTTTTCTTTTTTTTTTTGGTTGATAATTTCACTCTTTCAACACCATAATATCCCAACTTCCCATCCGATTTGCTAGCTCTCATGAAGTTCTATAGCTAGCCTGAGATAAGAACAACCAATGTCACCCCTAATACTCTCATGCTTTTGCACATGACAAGCTATCAAAAGAGACCTCACACAAGTAATATAATTTAGGCTTCAAAGAATGGTAAGGGTTTAAGGGTAAGTAATGCCATTTGGGTTTTATAAAGAGTGATATGAAGGATAAGTAAAACCCAAATGTGTATGACCAATGATCAAGTATGCAAGTTCCCATAAGCAAGAAAGATTAAGTTCATTCAGCTTTAAGTTCGTTTGGAGTTGGTTTAAAGAGAATGTCAATCTCACACAAGCAACAAGTTTCAAAAAGAGTATTCAAGGCTCAAAGCATGCAAGCTTTTCAAGAGATGCTTAAGCTACTTGCTATGATCATCTAGGGTGAAGTTTTGAATTCTAAGCATATATTTCCTTATTAGGTCAGCTCCCAATGCATGAATGCAATCTAAATGCTTCTAGACTCAGTCCTAAAGATGCTATGATGCAACCTAAATGCTTGTTTTTGTTTCTTTTTTGGAAAATTTTCAAATTGTTTTGGATTTTTATATGCATATATGTACATACAATGCAATGCATGAGACTCAAAATCAACAAAGCAAACATGATCACATACTTGATACCTCCTCCAAACTTAAATCAAACAGTCTCAAAGCATTTGTATATACAAAGAATGGAAATACCGAAAATATGATAAAAGCAATGGTATATACAAAGAATGGTTGGAGTGGTACCTCAAGTGGAGGCTGAGGTGTGGTAATGGGTGTTAAGTGCTAGGAGCTGGCTGCCTTTCTTCTCTTAGGAGCTCTAGACACAACCTGAAAATCCTCAATTGCATTTATTAAACACTCTAAAGCAAGAAGAAAAAGAATATATACAATGGATAAGCATGGGACTTCCTCCCAAGTGAGCTTGTTTTGAGTCTCTAGCTTGACTTTGTGTGTTTGCTAATCATAAGTATCAAAAGGTTGAGCAAATGCACCTTTGATTCTTCTCCTACAAGAACAAGAATCAAAGTATGCAAATGAGCACACTACTGTCCATTGAAAATAGACAGATTTATCATCAAAGAGCTTCCCTAAAGATGCAGCTTGAATTATGAAATGCTCTTTGATGTTCAGATGGTCATGAGAATCAAATGCATTTGGTGGAAAGAAAAAGTCAACTACATGCTCAAAAGGGGCCTTAACAAAGTAGTCTACTTTATCTCCATCAATCAAATAAAATACAATGTTCTTATTCTGATGAATGTTTTTGAAATAGGGGATTTCCATCTCAAGAAAGAGCTTATCAACATCAAGTTCATCCCCTAAATCAGCTATTTCAAGAAGAGGTCTACGTTTATTAAGCTTTAAAAACTCACATTCAAGATCAACTGAAGCATACATATAGCTCTTGTCAAAACAAACTTCAATATGATCTTGAATAAGTTTTTTTATTCTAAATTCATCTAGTTTCCTAGTTTAACATATCAGATGAAGACATTCATTTAATAGCACAAGAGAATCAAGAACATGATGGGCAATGTTCTCACCACAAGGCAAGCAAATTCCCTCAAGTTGACGCTGTAATGGAAATGCTTGTACCTTCCAGCTGGAGTGGTGGAACCCAATACATTACCTCATTAACAGCACAAACAGCATCCAACTCATGCTGAATAACTTCCCTTCCTTCAAACTTTGCTCTATCCTTAATAAGATGTATCCGGACCATTTGTGCTAGATGTCTCATTGGCTTGCCCCAATACTGTCTCATTCTCTTCAGCCTTTGTAACTCCACACATTGGTCTGGTGTGAGTATGCGCTTATCAAAGAGTGGTGGCTGCTTCACATATGGCTCATTTTCTATGTGATCTCCAATATTGGCTTCCTCTTCTTGTGGCCTCTCAAAGTGTCTTGAAGCCATCACTACAAAACAAAACAAAAATCTAGAATGGAAAGTTAGTAGCTGTACAAAAGCAAAACAAAAGCAAGAAAATAATACTTAGTCTTAAGATAGTTTGAAATCCTAATGAAAGATCTATCTAGTTTCCCGGTAATGGCGCCAAATTTGATAAGGGTTTTTAGTTCCTTAGAGCAAATCAATGTAGTAGTTAAGATTGTCGAACCACAGGGAACTAGTGATCTAAACAACTAGTGATCTAAACACTAAGAATACACAAACTTTCCTAAGGTAAGCAAATAAGAGAGATAGTTTGTAACAAGCTAAGTTCCTAGCATTATTAACAAGGTAATCTCAAATCCAATCAAGAAACAACCACAAGAACTACTTTTAATCAATAAGAACAACTAGGACTCATGGATTAGGCATTTAACTTCAAGTGATTATCCAATCTTCAAGCAATCTATCAAGTCCTATAGGTCTAGACACAATCCTAAGCTAGTTCTTTGTCAAGGTAAAAGCTCCTTTGCTATCAAGGATTAAAAATCAAGTGTCCTTGGCCTAATTCAATCAAGCAAGCATTGAGAACAAGTCTAATAACCATCTAAGCATCCCTAACATCAAGTTCCTTGGTTAAGCAAGCAAAAAGCATCTTTACCCTCATTCAGGAATTTCATCATACACCTTCTAGGCAAGAAATGTCTAATGGTCTAGATAAGAAGGATTAGTTCTAATCTAGCATAGAGATCAAGTGAATAGCATAGAACTAGAAAGATCACATCAATCAATACATTTCCTTAAATCTAGACACTTTCCTAAACAAAAAATTTGTCAAGATGGATGTTCATTTGCTCTC